TCGGCGTGCTGGTCATGGGTCCTGGATTCTGGTTCTGAGGTCGGGTCACTAGTTGGTCATACCGCAGGAACGCGATGTCTCCCCTCGCCCTGGCCTCCCTTAACATCGGCATCAACTCCCTTCTTCTCTTCCTCACAGACTCGGTGTAATCTTCATTTATATAAATATTAGATCCTTTAAGCTTCTTTGCTTGTTGCAGTATGTGTGCCTTATCTTTCTCTTTCATCAACTTTACCATCACCGCCCTCTGTCCCCGATCATAAGGTTTCCCGACTCTGTGAGCCCGCTCCATCTCAATTTCTTGATGAATTTGCAGTTTATCCTTTAATATTTCCTTCACCTTACATTCCGCTTCCGTCCAGCTGACTTCTTGATTCCCTCGAAGATCAGGTTTTTTCGCTTGGACTGTACTTCCAAATGCTCCATTTTATCCGTTATGGCTATTGGACTCTCACAAGTTTTGTAGACATCATCCCTTGTTTCCATGGTTTGTATTTTCTGTTCACCCATGGCTGCTTTAATCACATCCACATCTTGATGGGCAAACTGCAAACTCGTTTTTATCTCCTGTATTTCTCTGGTCATGTCGTCGAGTCTCTTATTTGTCTCCATAAAAAGTTGCACAAAACCTTTGAAGTTGTCTTGTTGTTGGCTCAACAGTGCGGTGTACATCTGCTTCTGCTGACTCGACATCTCTGTTACTTGCGCCGCTGAAATATAATCCTCTTTTGCCTCAACATCCTCGTTCGCTTCTGATTTATTAGCTCTTTTCCTTCTTGGAGGCATTTTAATAGTTGTAGAATTTGTTCAAAGACTTGAAAATGTAGAAGATGTGAAAAATCAAGTTTTAGTAAAGAATTATTGATGGTTTCAATTTTAAGGCTACAAAGCTGCACAATTAGATATCTAAAACATTGAATTTAGTTAACACTAGTAGTACAACCTCTGTAATCTTGGAGTCACTCCAGGGGGTGCTACCTTTGTTTTGACAGTAGCAGGTCTGGTTGTTATGTTTTATGTGGTTATTTGCTTATACTATCTATACACTTATATTCTTAGTGCTGGTAGACCATGTTTGTGTCTATTACACCTCTGGCTGCAGTTTGTGGTGTTAAGGCAGGTATTTTACATTTGGAAGCTTTAGATGGTTGCACACTATTCCTATAGATAGCTGATCTGCTAGCAGACATTTTCCATGGTTTATACGTGCATCTCATTCACTTATTTTAATCTTTCAAAATTGTGAAACTTGCTGTAAAGGGTAAACAGTGACTCAGTTATCCTCTCAGTTACCCTTGGCAACATTTGATATTTGTGTTAAGACATATTGCAGGTTTATCTAAGCACTCAGGTTATTGTGTGCTCAGAGATAAGCTGATATAGTTTGCAAGTCAAACAGTCAGGTTAACCAGGAAAAAGATAATGATTACCTTCACAGCAATTTTGGAGGTTGTACCCAGTGGTTAGTTAAACTGAGAGGTGTTTTATAATATTTTGTTCACCATATTTGTTGGGACAATTCACCATTAAAAAGTGAATGACATTTAGTTAGTGGCATTGTTACCCAGGTCTTTTTGCTCCTGACCAAAAGGAGTACCCATTTTAGAAAGCAAGTTTTTAAGTACCCATCCTTGTATACAATTTGGGAAAGTGTTAATAGTTGTTGAAGTAATCAAGATGGTGCCACTCATATTTTACTACTGCGTGGGTGTGAAATGCTTCTTCTGTTGCTTGAGAGATAGTATCTTTGTTTCCTTCCTCAGTGTTGAGTGAGAGAGCAGCACACCAGTGACATTCAGAGGGCCATTTACAAAACCAGGGGCACCGGTACCATGGAATGTGCAGTGGACATCCCCTCTGGTAAGTGACAAAATTCTGTGTCACTTAAGGCCTAGTCCATACATACATGGGTATTTTAAAAAAGAGTTGTTCTCCCCATTGTAAAAAGAAAAATCATTTGTTTTTAAGAAAAAGTATGACAAACCAACAGACAGCGATATAACGCTAACCTAAAGTCATGTTGGCCAATCAGAAGTTTTAAAAATGTAATTACCAGTTCCAGTAGACTAGTATTAACAACAATGGTGCATTGAGGAAAAGGGGGACTTGTATGTGTGGACTGACACTGGAGTTATTCTTGAATGTCAGTTTTCCAAAAGCTCAGTTTTCAGTGAACTAAAATGCCATTTGTGTGTGGATGAAAGGCCAAAACAAAGCAAAAATTACATTAAAAAAAAAAAAAAACATGTATGCGTGGACAGCACTTCAGGTTTCATCAATTTAGGTTTAATTTTGTTCAAAGTTTTCTCTGTTTAACATTTTAGTGTATGTCATTGTAATATCACTGTATCATTAAATTCCATTGTGGTCCAGAGACTGGTTAAAACATGAAAATTTTATTTGAATTAATTGGCTGGTTGTTAGCCAAAATAACTCCCTGACTGCATTTTTAATCTTTGAGTGTCTCCATGTTAAACAGTCATACTCTTGGATGAGATTATGGTTTTATATTCAAGAATGATCTGCAATGGGCATGTTCATCATAAAGAAAAAAGATCAATGCATAACACTAGGGTTGCCTGTGGCATGGCTTGTTAACGGTATTCCATTATTATTATTCTAGGTGAAAAGATAAGCAGTGTCTAACAGATGTCCTTTAGCTGCACATCACTGTCTACTTTGTGTAGCTTGAGCAATTTGCACAAGATTCATCTTATTCATTTTACATGAATAAGATAATCAATGCAAGCCTTCAGATTAAACAAAATGTACTAGTTAATTCTGGCTAAACTTGCCCAAAGTTTTATACATGTGATGACTTTGCCAAATACTGGTGTAATCTGAAATACTGAGTGCTCTGTGCAGGTGAGGATGAGGCAACTGAGAAAGATGACATAAATGTCAAAGAAGGGAATGAAGCACCCCATAAGAAAAACAAGAAGCACAGAAAACATAAGAGCAAGAAAAAGAAGAGGAGGAGGAAGGGAGAAAAGGAGAGCAGTTCAGAATCCGGTGCTGAGTCCGATGTAGAACCGCCACCTCCACCAAGACCTGTCAGGACTACCAGAGCCAGGTCAGGAAAAGTTAAAATTTTATTTAACTACTGTAAGTAAACTAAATGTGCTGACTATATATATATATATGCATTCAATCAAAATAATGCTGCATGTTAACATTTTTATAAAAATAAACTTCTAATAAAGTGAAATATGTAGCCTCTTTGTGTTTCTAACTACATGTCGACAGAAATCTAATAGTGTAGAATATAATTTAAAATCAACATTTCCTGTATACTCTATTTTGATTATCTGGTAAAAATCACAGTTCCATTAAGGGAATTTTTACATGTACCAATTTATACTTGAAATTGAGAAGATGGAGTACTTGTTTTGTTTTGTCAACTTAATTTTTTCAGAGAAACAAACTATTTATTCTGAAAACACACCTTGTGTTTGCAGTGCCAGACTGGCAGCAGCTGCAGGAGCTGCAGAACATGCTGGACTGAAGGAGGAGGGCAAAAGGGACATAATAGCAGGTAGGAGATTCTTGCACACAAACTTAATACATTTTTCTTCAGAGAGTAATAGGTTATTTCGCCAGTTTGATTTTTTTCTTTTGTTTTGTTTCAAAATCATTACATATCCTCTCAGATCGTGTAGAAGGAGATGTGAAATCCAAAAAGTACAAAAGACATGCTGCCAAGAAGAAGAAAAAGAAGAGAAAGAAAGATGAAAAGCAGGAAAAGAAATCTGTATCTCATTCCCCATCCGAAAGCAGCTCAGCTTCAGGTTCTGAATCTGAAGGTCAAGCAGGTAAAGGGGCTGGTGATGGCAAACACTCCCCAGCTGCAGCATCTGACTTGCAAGAACCAGGATCCAAACTGGGTTCAAATAGTAAACCAGGTGAGGAAAAGGGGGTTCCCATCATCACACAGAAACCTGAAATATTTGGGGTGAAGAAAGAGGAGATATCAGATATGGATGTGTCCCCAAATGGAGGGAAGGGGAGTAATACCTATGGATCAGAAATGGATATGGGTTCACCCTCTGCAGCTCAGGATGAGATAACACAGACAGCATTAGTTTGGGTTAAGACAGAGGGTAGTCATGGTGCTGGTGCGTTCAGTCATGCCCAGGAACTACCTGACATCATCCCTAAACAGGAAGGTGCTACCCCAAGAGATGACCCAGGTGTGAAAGATCAGGCCAATTCAGTTCAAAGGGCAAAAGATAAGGAACATGATTTGTCTAGATCTCCGTCTCCTTCCAGAGTCTTACACATTAAAAGGTCTGAGTCAAATCATAGCCGGTCAGCAACACCTAGTCCCAATAGGCAGCAGTCGGGTGATCAAACAGCAATGAAAAAACAATCAAGAACCCATTCCAGGTCAACCTCAAAGGAAAAAATGTCTACAACTCCTCTAAAGAGTCAGCAGTTGTCCCGCTCTCCATCTCCTAAACCTATGAGGAAGTCACTCTCCCCATCACCAAAGGCTCCCAAGATAGCTAGCTGTCAGTCCCGGTCCACCTCTCCCTCCCTCACCCCAAAGAAGAAGGTGTCAAAGTCTCCAAGGAAGTCCAAGTCTCCTAAACGGCGGCGAAGTTCCTTGTCTGTTTCCCCAAAGCGACGCAGAAGTTCTCCCTCTCCTAAAAGAAAGGTGTCACGATCCCCTAAACGCAGTGGACGCAGATCTCCGTCTGTATCTCGGTCTACAAGGAGAAACCGAAGGTCAGAGTCACGAACCCGTGGAGGCACAAAGCGCTCCAGGACCCGCTCACCTAGACGGGGTGGTGCAGCTGCCAGGCGTTCACGGTCACATTCTGTTACTAGAACCCGTCGTTCCCATTCTCGATCCAGGCGCCTTGTTCGTCGCTCCAGGTCGCGTTCACTGACAAGACGTGCAGGAGGCAGGCGCTCCAGAAGTCGATCCTTGTCTTGGCGTAGGAGGTCACCACCTGTCAGATCCCGCCGCTCACACTCCCGATCGGTCCACAGGAGCAGGCGAACTCGATCACGTTCCATTGTAGTCCTTAAGCGCGGCCATCGTTCCAGATCCAGGAGTCCACGCAAAAGGACCAAATCCAGAACCCCTCCCTCCCGACGGCGGACTAAATCCAGGTCCCCAGTCAGAAGGCGCTCTCGTTCCATTGCCAAGAGAAATCGTTCTCCACCAAGGTCTGGCAAACGCTCCAAATCTCGTTCATTGTCTCGAAGGCACTGGTCAAAGTCACACTCGCCACTACCTGGCAAGAGGAGGTCCAAATCTCCTAAGAAGAGTGGAAGAAGGTCAGCATCTAAATCTTCCTCTGTGGGTTTGAACAGATCTAAATCTAGGTCTAGATCGGAGTCAGGTGATGGGCGGTCTGTCAGCTTCTCCCCAGCCAGATCCACATCTTGCTCACCCATTAAAGTAAAGAAGCAGTCCTCTCCTGTGGTAGAGCAAACAGCTGAAGAAGGTGGAGGACTTTTAGCTACAGCAGGTCAGACCTTTTTTATTTTTATTTTTAATCAAACTACATTAACTAAAATTAAAATAGCTGTATCTGCACTGTTGTCAACAGTGGATGCCTGCCTATCATTGCAAAAACAAAAGTGAATCCTAACTTGTATATTGTCCAAATTCATCATTTGAATCCAGTGACAGGTTGTAGTCAAGTCACTCTTTGATTTTTTTCCAAGGTCATAGTAGTATTGGTAGTTAACATAAGTGTTTTGTTCCTTTAACATGTCCTAATGTCTTAATTCCGTGTCACTTAATGTGTTCGCTGCAGGTGTTTGGAAACCCGTGTCCTCAGCAGCTGCCTCCAGCCCCCAAGCTGGGAGCTCTTCAGATACACTGCAGGAACAGGTTGCTCCCAACCACGACAAGGAGAAGAAGGAACATATTAGCTCATTAAATGAACAAGATGTTTCCAGGTCTGATTCCCAGGAGCCTAACCCAGATGGGTCAGATAGTTCAGAAGGATCAGATGAAGAAGAGGATTCTTCCTCTCTTATTAAAGCAACCTCTAAATGTCAGAGAAGCTCCTCAGGTTCAGCATCTCCAGAAGTGCAGAAGCAGCTGTCCAAATCACCTACGAATCGTCGGAAACTTTCACGCTCAACTTCATCACCTAGACGATCAATGTCCAAGCCTGCATCCAGAAGGAAGCAGTCTAGGTTTGTGATGTTAGTGTCTGTATGCACCCATCAGTCATCATAAATCAGGGTTTTTATGTGTACTAAATGTTGCATTAGTAAATGTAACTTACAAGTCTTACAAATAAAACCATCACAAATGTTTTCACAGTGCCAGACTTCTGATGTTCTTTAACTGTTCTCCCACTATGTTAAGTTTCAGTATTGTGCACAATTATCTTATCATTCACTTCTCCTCAGGTCCAAGTCTCCAGTGAGGAAAAGAGAATCTGTCTCACCATCAGAACGGAAGAAGCGGCGGTCTAAATCCCGGAGTCCTGTCCGGCGAAGGCGGTCACGCTCACGTTCTATCACACGGCGTAAGCGTTCACGCTCCAAGTCTCGAACCAGAATCCGCAACTCTCCAATCCGCAAGAGAGGATCCCGAACTCGTTCACCCAACCTTCGAGGGAGGAAGAGGTCCAAGTCTACAGACAGGAGCAAGCGATCCAAGAGCCGTTCCATGGGCCGGAGGAAACGGTCCAGGTCAGGAGATAGAAGCAGGCGATCTAGGTCTCGTTCCTCTGATCGTAGACGCAGGTCTCGGTCAAGGGGTCGAGGGAGGCGCCCAGTGTTTCGCAGTCGTTCATTTGATAGACGAGACAGATGGAAGAGGGAACCTAGCCACTCTCCAGTTCTCATCCTCCGCAAACAACGCCGCTCAGGGTCACGGACACGACGCAGCACCAGCAAGACTCCTCCACGGCTTACTGAACTGGGTAAAAGTTTTAGATATTCACTAATGACAATCACAAGTAAGGCAGTTAACAATTGAGACTTGCTATTTATGAACACATTTGCACTATTTGTTTTAATATAAATGTATGCTTTGTTTTGCCCCCCATCCCCCTCCCCACTCACTTATTTTTCCTTTTAAACAGATAAGGATCAGTTGCTGGAGATTGCTAAAGCTAATGCTGCAGCTATGTGTGCTAAGGCGGGGGTTCCCATTCCTGAGAGTCTTCGGCCAAAAGCCATTCTGCAGCTCCCTCTACCCACTCCATCTCCTGCCCCTCTTTCTTTACCTCTACCCTTGCCTCTCCCAATGGGCATGGGGATGCCGAATATGTCCAACATGGGTCCAATGGGGATGTCCGCTATTCCGGGAATGCCCAGCATGTCTAACATCACCATGAGTGCTGCTGTGGCAAGCATGACAGCAGCTACCATGACAGCTGCCTTGACCAACATGGGTGCCCTGGCGGCCATGCCTCCCCTTACCCCGCTTCCTTCCATTACTAACAAGCCTCCCCCATGCCTAGCCCCCCCACAACCAACCCTCAACCTGGACCACATTGAAGAAGCAAAGAGGAAGGTCACTCAACAAGCCAACATACACACCATCAAGGAGCTCACAGAGGTAAATGGGAAGTCTATGTTTGGTAGAGAGTGATCATACAGTATGTTAACATGTTTGAAAGAAACTGTGTTGAAGAGTGAGCAGAGTGCATACAGTACGTGACTCGGTATAAATTAACATGTCTTTTTTCCTCTGTGTTTTTGTAGAAGTGTAAGATGATTGCAAATAGTAAGGAGGAGATGGCCATAGCTAAACCCCATGTGTCGGATGATGAAAGCTAAAACCACCAAACCCACACGGTAACATTTCCAGTGTTCATTCTTCTATTACTTTGTCAGTCTTTTTATTACTTTCGTTTATTTCATTAATTTTTTTGAATTAAAAGCATTTAGCATGCCAGTTTTTTTACATTTCAAAACTTGATATACTAATATTTGTCTTACCTTTTTAGAAACTTGCATTTCCATTTTAAGCTTACTAAACTGTCCAGGTCACTCTTGTTCCAGTGCCAACGTACTCACTGGCCAGTTCAGTTTTGTTTTAGCTGACTAGTTCTATCACACTGTAATTAAGTACCCATTCCTCCACTTTTGATTTTCAGTTTCTATTTGAAAAAAAGTAGTTTTTCATGCTTGCTTGTTCTTGACAGATTCTAACTAAATTGAACTCATTAACTGTAGTTCTGCTTGTCTGCATTATTCACTTATTTCTTTGTTCCAGTGCTAACAAGGGAAATGCCATCAGCCTTTCTACTCACTAAATTGTTCCTTTGCATAGAACAGACAAGCTATGATCATAAAAAAGCTTGATGTTTTCTGTGGATTTGAATTGATGATTTTCTCTAATGCATACAATCCATTAGGCACAATGTTTGAACTTTGACCGTTCTCTGTCTGCACACAGTCTCCTCAAAGGACTAAAGGAACATGTAAAAAATGCATCCACAGTCCCCACTCAGCAGCCAGATTTCCTGACTGCGTTTCATAAACCACCAAGAACATGAAGAGCAACCTAGTTGTCAGTGAGTATAGGAGTGCCAGCCACTGCACCACTCTTTCACAAGTTTGTTTCTGTCTGTGTGAGAGCGAGAGACTGGCAGACTGTCACCTGTGATACCACTGATAAAACCGGACACGCTGACATGTGCATGTGTGCACAGTTGTATGACTGCATATTGAGTTTAGTGAGAGTCTCTGTGTGTGTGTATATAGTGACCACCAACCCCCCAGTGTTGCTGCTCATTCAAGCAGTCACTGATGGAAAGACTGAAAGGAAACAAATCAAACTAGTGGTGCAAATGTTTTTGTAAAAGATTCCTTTCTCTAAATTTGTTTTACTTTTATGCTTTCTTAAAAGATGTTAAGTGGAGACTGCTTCCCTGTTCTGCTGTATTTCCCCATTTATCTCTAGTCCCTGGTTTTATAAACAAATGATGCAGACAAAGTTTTGTTAGATCCTCATGTGATATGTTTTCACAAACCTGGGTTTCCAGGGCACGAGACAGGCGCTGATATGTTGTGAATCCTGGAACAGGATTCCAGATGCCAGATCTGATTATTCTGAAGGAACAGAATGACTGAATGTATTGGCTGCAAAAAGAAGGTTTAAATTTTGCCTTTGACACATGATTATCATCTTCACTTGCAAAATATAACAGATTTAGTTAGTACTGCCCTGGGTGTGCTTGTTCTTTCCCTCTGTTTTAAATTGCACCAAGCAAATCTTTGAATCTAATTTGGGCTTTATTGGCTTTTTTTTTTTTCCAACTAGGAAACATGTTTGCTGCCACATTTACACCAGTGTCCTCACGCGGATTAATGTTTTGAAAAAGACTAAGATATAACTTAAGATGCACAGAAAACATCAATATGTGCGGGGAACTGACAATATCATTTTAAAACTAGTAGACAAAACGGTTTTGTGTAAAAATTCAAATGTCTGTTTTTGTCATTTGTTATTCTGAGTGAGTGGAATTTGAAAGCGGTGCTGCCTGTTGGCTGTCTTGGACGTCCTTGGTGTTTACAGCATAGTACGTACCATAAAACAGGGGGCTTGTGAAAATCACTGGCCAGTTGACTGGTCCTTCAACCACCAAGTATAACAGTTTTTTTTTTTTCTGATCAGAAAAGAGGGTTGAAAATGCAAAATTCTAAATGTTAGACTGTAAATGCTGGTGATTATTACTTGTTTAGAACAACATATTTCACTATGTGAAATACAAATATCCCCTTTTTATTTGCAGAAAATTAATTATAACCGCATGAAATGCAGTCATCTTGAAGCATTGTACTGGCTAATTGGAGAACTGCTCTGGGGAACTATGTGTATGTGTGTGCAAACATGAAAAGCTCAACAAGCCAAAGGGCTCATTTAATCCACTGATACAATTGATATCTTTTAACCGGTAGATACGGTTCCCCTGTCCTGTGTTCAGTCCCCTGTGTGAGCTGAACAGGGTCCACGTTTCACCTCAAGCATTTGCCCCACGCGATCACTGTAGAACAAAGAGAAATTTGGTGCTTTTAGGGAAAACTGACTGGGATGAGGTTTTCTGTTTGTTTTTAAAGGAATCTTGCACTCAAATTTATTTTCATTGGAGAGGGAAATAATTCTGGATTCCTCCCCCCATACCCAGGGCTGTTGTTTGGAAGATAATGTGTGAAGGTTATGTCAAACTGTAACTATACTGTCTGTACAAAGTGTTGAACTGTTCACCTGATTCCCCAAGGTAATCTTTAGCTATTTTAATAACAGAAAAAAAGAAGAAAATGCATTTTAGGAATTTTTTTGGGTCATTTGAATAGGATATTGCTTGCTTTGTACATACATGTGATGATCATTAAAAACCTCAATGATATGTATGTACTTATCTCAGTGTGCTGTTTTCACTTCAGTCAGGCTCATAAATGTACTACTGTGAGTTTAAAGATGTATTAAATGCCTTCTAGAAAGAGGAAGAGGAATAAAGTTGAGTTTAGTCTGACTGGATTTAATAATAATCTAGTTTATTTTACCAGCTAAATGTTCTCAGTTCATAAACATGTTCTGACTTTTGTCTTTTAAAGCTGTGATGAAGCTGCTTTACATTGGGGTAAAAAAAAAAAACAATCACAGGTTACATATATCGAAATTAAAGTGAATTCCATACCTGTAACATGCATATTAAAAAGATACTCTTCACAAACTAGTTAATTGAATTATGTGAAAGCAAAGTGTAAGAAGTACATTACACTGGGGGCGGCTGTGGCTCAGGAGGTAGAGCGGGTCGTTTCCTAACCGGAGGATTAGCGGTTTGATTCCCGGCTTGTCCAGTCAACATGTCAAGGTGTCCTTGAGCAAGACACTGAACCCCCAGTTGCTCCCGGTGATGTCACCGGTGTGTGAATGCGTGAGTGCTTGGGAGTGCGAATGGGTGAATGGCCGAATAATGTGAAAGCGCTTTGAGTGTGCTGTAAAAACATAGAAAGGTGCTATACAAGTATAAGACCATTTACCATTGTTGGAGTAATCAGTTGTGCTTTTACATTTTGAGTGTGAGACTTTAAATAGATTATGTTTTCCAAACTGTGAGGAAGAAATTAAAACTACATTGCCTGATGTTCAATCAGATGTCCTCTGGTTCCACCTAGTGGAGTTAATTTTTAATTAAAACATGGGACAACAGACAAGTGAATTGAAGAGAGCGAAACTTGTATAAGAGAAGATGGGTAAGCTGCATCTGGTTTGAAATTGACAAGATTGTGGACAAGTGTTTAGTTTAAAATGGATTATGAAGTGTTTCAGAAATGTCACTGGAGCCAGATAAACAGCATCAGAATTTAACATTAGATGAGGTGTTTTACTTTGAGAATATCTTTGAATATTGAGCCTGTTTGTACTTGTGTTTTAAAACCAAAATGTATATCAAACTCTACATTTGATCACATTTGGTAGGAGGTCCTTGTTTCCAAATTACCAACCCAGCAAAGCAAAGAAATTCAATTTTGCTCAGATAGACCTGGTTATTGTGTTAGAAGCCTTATCTGTGTGCCAAAGCCCAAAGACAAAATACTGTAAACAAACAAATTGATTAAAAGCATGGACAGTAAAATCTAATTATTGTTTTGGAGGCTTCCTAAGAGTTCCTTTGTTTAATATCAGGCACTGCCAGCTGTGATAGGAGTCCTGAATAAAAGGGACATTCATTGCTCAGCAGTGAGTGACCAGTGCTCAGATCTATAATGAGAGGCTTCACAGCAGACAGGGACCCCAACAGCACAACCTGACTACACCGTGTATCAATTGGCAAGACTGCTTATGTGCTGGCAATGTTTGCTTGTGTACAATAAAAATAGGTCAAGGTAAATGTATTTACAGAAATGTTTGGGGAATTGTGGTGGAAATTATTGTTATCCACCCCTCTAATACAAGTGAGAAAGAATAAATGAAGTTTTACGTGATGTTTTTTGTGGTTTTACTATAAAGGGTAAGTACAAAGTATGCTCAGCTGAGAGTACAGAGGTCTAAACTTGCATAGAGAGATAAGAGTCTGACTGAGAGCCTATTGTTTACACACACTATTAAGTATCACATTCAGAGTCAGGTGGGCAGTATCATGGGAGTACAAGGGAGTCAGAGAAAGCCAGGGAAAGGGCGAGGTAGCAAAATGAAGGTCATCCCACCTTATCTAGCAACAAAATTAATAATGAGTTGTTTTGCCATATCTAGCTTTTCCTGCAAGGTGTACTTATTGGTACAAACATGTATTTAAGGATGAATATACTGATAAATATAAGAATATATAAAAATGTGATATATGATTATAATGATACATTTGACATCACAGAAATAAGTTAGTCATTTAATTTCCCTGAAGCTTTGTCTTTAAATGTCCTTTTGGGGGAAAACAAAATGTATAAGACACCTGCAGTTATGAAACTTTCCTGTAAGGGGTGCACTTTTTCTTTGTTTCCACTGAACCTTTATTGTAGAATTCAGTGGGTGAATGCATTTCCACAGTCTTGAGTCAGTAAACATGAACTGTATGAAATCACCATAAAGCACTTTATGGGCATACAGCACCCTTCCCTTTCTGGCCCCGCTTTCCCTTTAGTAATTTTCATACAGTCCCTAAAGACAAAAAAAAAACAACAATGGCAACAAGTGTCTTAATTAGAAATGCATAGTCGGTAATTCCACTTTTAGTTAGCTAAACTTTTTTTCTTAATTACTATGTGTGGGTTAGGGTTAGTACTCTGCATCAGCTATAATTTTTGAAAGAGTAACTTTGTTTAAATATTCTGGGCCAATTATGCTCATTTAATATGTGCACTGTAATTACATTCATCTGTAATTACAGTTACAGGCCTTCTTGTCTGCATGTGTGCTCATTTAGCAGTCACATATGCATGTGTATGTAATGTGGGCTGCATACTGAGCAGCTAGTGAGTCATTGGATTTTGCAGATCAATTCCTGTCGGTCGATGGATGGCTGAGTGCTTTACAGCGACCACCCAGTCCAGCACTCTACCCCTTCTGTCAAACAGCCCGGAAAGGAGGCCACGTACACAAATTTCCTCTCACTTCCCCTTAATTTCCATTTTCAGAACACACTTTTCTCCCACATGTACACGCACACATACGCACACTGGATAAGCTGATGAATTCAGCCCGTGGTGGAGTTCTGGATCAGAGGGGAATTTGTTTCACTACAATGTGAGACAGACTAACAAAGACAACAGAGACACCAAAGAGAAAAGGAGAAAAGAGGATTTGGGAGAAAAAGGAGGCTCGATAAGATTAAAGCTGACAAGAGTGAAGAGAAAAGAGAGGAGAAACTGAGAACACCGGAGAGAATAAGATGCCTAATTTGGAGCACTGGAGGATTTGGAGCACTGCCTACAGAGCCAAGAGAGCTGTGTCTGTAACTGTAGGAGTCCGTGTATTGGTTAGAGGAGTAAAATAAAGATTGTGACTTTGACTGTACTTGTCGGTTCATTGTACTGTCAAATTTGTGCGTGTGTGCACTTATCAGTTCAAGTGTGCGTGTCAGTGTCCTCCTCAGGACAGAAAGCAAAACTGTACAAGAGCCAGAAATTGGGCTGTAACACTAGCATGTGTGCTTCTACATAATTGAAGACATGTTGCATGCAAGCATGAACATTTTATGAAGGCGAAGGAGCAACTATAGATCTAAATTTATAGATGAGTGAAGTTATCCCAATTAAAATATTCATGTGAGCTGAAAGTAAAAACAATCTCCAAATGTGTTTTTTTTTTTTTTTCATTTACCATCTAATACTTTGGTGGGATTGAAAACTGAAATATGTATAAGTTTGCATATTTGCTGAGAAATATAACACTGTTCTTCATAGACATCTTCCAATTTATGGTTAAAATTCATATGACAGGAAATATTTGAGAATAGCGGCAATAGTGAGAGACACAACATCTGGAAACTTGGTAATGTGTGATCATGCTATTGAACTCGCATATGTGGATCAGATTAACTGTACATTCCTATATGATCTGCATGTATGGCAGTCTGTATTTTTGAGTAGATGTGAATTGGGTTTTCAGTTTGTGCACGAGTCATTTTGGATGTCTAATGTCACACTGGTCAAAGATGCCAGACAGATGTGGTTCCTCATGTGACCATTACACATAAAAAATAATTAATTATCAGCAGGTCTAAGTATAAAGCTTTGTTTATTAAGCTGCTCGTCAGAAGACTTGCAGACATACCCCTAGAAACAGTAAAGTATTCACGTATGAAGATGCCTGCTGTGTAACAGAAACAGTGTTGTCCTGAAACCACCTAAAAATGTTTGTAATCTCATATCTGATGGACAGTTGGCATAATTAAAATGAAACTTTTAATCATCATTACTAAACTCTACCCAGGAGGGTGGAGGAGACGCTGGCCACTGTTACACAGCTGACCTGTTAAGGTAGCCATAGAGACAGATGCTTCCTGACTGTAGCACAACATGTTGGTGTGAATAATGACAACACTGAGGTATTTCAGTAGTTTGTGTGTGAAAATGTGTGTGTGTGTGTGTGTGTCTGGATGCCATGACAACAAGGTACAGAGTGTGTTTGTGTGAGCCAGAGATCATAGAGTAATGTGTTGAGAATGCACAGCAGCAAGGCTGTGTGCACGTGTCCTCTTTTTTTTTTTTATATCTCTCCCATGTCTTTGTGTAGGGGTGTGTGTGTGTGTGTGTGTGTGAAATGAGACAGCCATTGTAACGTGTATGTTAATTCCAGTTCATCACTCCAGAATGAGAGAGGAGATCGTGTTCTCTGTACAAGAAGCCATGATGATGTCCACAAAGATTGAGTTGATCAAGGTTAATCGGTTTGTGTGCATGTGTGTTAGCTGCAAGGAAGCAAAGATCCTCTTGTGTGTACACTGACTAGCATAGCATGTTTGAGCATCAAAGGTGACACTCAGCGAAGTCTCAGTGAGAACACACTCATATCGTACTTACCTTTTATCATAAAGTTATTTGAAATGTGCCCAAAATCCCTCTGGATGTCATCTGAACCATTGTGTGTGTGTGTGTGTGTGTGTGTGTGTGTGTCTGTGTGTGCATATCATATATATGGGCAGGTACAGTCCAGTGCTCACACCTAAGCCTGCACCCTGAAAGCTGAGATGAGTGTATGAAAGGGTCATGGACGTTCCAGTCCGTTGCTCATGTTAGGGCTCACAGTGAGATTATCACGAGTGAGTGTGTCACATTGACAAAATGATGTAAGGTCAGGATATAACAAGGTAGAGTGGTGCAACTGAGTGTGTTTGTGTGTGGTTGTCACTTCTGCAGAATCAAGATGTAGTTCATCACTCTTGCTGATGTGGAGTAGAGCTGCCAGTTGCGTATGTGT